TTTATACAGTTGATAAAAAGCTTTGGGGTTATTTTTCGATTCGTTTGCTACCTTGATTTCATAATTTCTCTTTGCTTTCCTAATTTCTGTTTTTACCTGTCTTGTTAGGTTCTGATAGTAACCAAGTAAGTGATTTTCGCCTTTCTTAACTTTTCTATATACTCCTTTCTTTTTCCCTAGAAGATCTAAGAGTCTATTATTCATCCATTTTGGTTGGTTCCGTATCGATCTGAATTTTCTTTTAGGGATGTGTTTATTTTGAGCATTATGGATTGTCGCAATAAATTGTTCATAAGTAGCTGCTAAATTAAATTCGGGGTTCTCCCGTCCAAAGTTGACAGTTTCCAGAGGTGTGGGGGGATTAATCTTTTGACCATAGGGTCATCCCTTAGGTCTCTCCTTAAGCTACCGTAATTAGCCTTCCTAAAATCCGGGATCAAGGCCGAATTTTCCTTCTTCCTACCATTCCATATTATGTTAAAATATATGGCTTTATGATCACTGTTTCCTAGTTCGTCTCCAATCCCAACATCTTTTACTAGATATTCATTATTACTGAGAACTAAATCGAGGATATTATTTCCTCTAGTGGGCGAGTTTATGAATTGATATAAAAAACTATCTTGTACTACTTCTAGAAAATCTTCAGATTCATTATCGCTAAGTTGATTTTTCCAATCTAAGCCTGAAAAGTTGAAATCGCCTAGGAACTTTATAAATGCAACCAATTGTGTTGTTGGGGGAGTTCTTGATTAACATTTGTTTAACAGTGCATGAGTTTTTAAATGCCACATTGACGTTCCAGGTTTTAGTTGTGAAGGAATGTGTGAGAAATTTTTGTGAAATGGTATTATTAAGATATTCTTATGGTCATGGGTGGGCTTGGGATCAGTTCTATAAAAAGTTTTCTTAGTAATGTTTAGGCATTTGTCTATGAAAGATCTAGGGTATTTAAGGTTTGAGCCAATATTATATATATATTTGTATTCCTCATCAATGAATTCCGGACTGCAAATTCTCAAGGCACGTAAAAACATTGTTGAAAATACTGACCGTTTGACTTTATTATGGTGGGCAGAATAATAATGAATGTATGAACACATATTAGTTGGTTTTCTATAAATACTGAACTTAAAAGTGTTACCTATTCTGTATATCAGACAGTCTAGGAATGGCAATTTACAGTCTTGCTCTAATTCCACAGTGAATTTGATCGAAGGGGCTAAGTTGTTAAGTTGTGGCAGGAAAGCTTTTAGGTCCTCATATATATATATGTGTGTATGTGTGTGTGTGTGTGTCTGTGTGTCTGTGCGTGCGCGTGTGAATGCGTGTGTACACAGGGTGGTGTAATGCATCTAGTGTGGCAGCAGTATGTTAGTGTTAAGGTGCAGACACTGCTTAGTTCCTCTCGTTTTCAGCTACCGCAGCTGGCTTGCCCTCGTGGTCAATAGAGAAGCAACTTTGCGTAAGTCTTCCACTGCCAGTACACAGCCTCTTAACCATCAAAACTCCTGCTGTGCCTCCTCGAGGCAGCACACTGTAACTGGGTGCCTTCTTGGGCCCAGGCGAGACCAGTAGGGAATCTTGAAGCAGCAATGGGCTCCAGATGTAAGGTGCAAAGGCCCACTGGCCTGAGGACACGTCCACGCGCCTAGCAACCACAGCCCCGCTGCCTTGTGGATTAACCTTGGTAGGTAGAAGGCTACAGTAGTAATCCCTGAATGAAAAATTTGTGTTTGAGCCCTCATAAAACAGATATGCTTACAGAGCTCCAATAAGATCCAAACGGCGGTATAGGTGGAAAAGTTAACCAATTTGGGAACCAAACGACTACACCAGCAGATGAAGGCAATGCATGATGAACCGGCTACTAAGGCAAAACCCAAGAAACTGGGCTATCGGCAGTCCATTGCACCATTGGATCAGGAAGAGGTAGAGCCATGATGTGTGGTTGCAACCTTGTAGTTGCAGCCTGCGCTCCTGCCTCACCACAAAAATCAACTCACGCACAGCCATCATTCAGCTCATCAAACTTTTCATCACCATTCGAACTCCTATCCCCCCAGATGAGTGGCGACGGGGACAGGTAGAGATGACTGCCGAGAGTCTAGAGTCACAACTTTGCACATGTGCAGCATAGATAAGAGCGTTGTTTACTTACTGGGGTCTTGGCAGCAGTGCAATCAAGTTCTATCTGTGCGACATAGCAGCCTTTTCGAGGAGCTTTTATGGTCGTTGCATGGAATGTCAGGACCATTCTGGATACTGGCACAAATGACCGTCCTTTTGGCAAAAGAACTCTCAGCCATTAGTGAGTCCCATCTTCCAGACGAGGGTCGACTCAGAGAACGGGGGTCCGGCTATACCTTCTTCTGGAAGGGTAAGCTTGCTGTGGAGAGAAACCGCATTTACGGAGGCGGTTTTGCCGTTCGCCAATCTATTCTACATAGGCTAAGTGAAATGCCTGATGGGATCAACAAGCGCCTCATGATGCTCTGAATACCATTGAATCACTCACGTCACGCCTTCTTCTTCAGTGCATGCGCCCCAACACTGGATTAAGAGGATGTCATCAAAGAGGCCTTTTATGCCGAACTTGATAGAGTGCTAACCTCAATCCCCAGAGATGATAAGGTTGTGCTCCAAGGTGACTTCAATGCCAGAGTTGACAGAGTTACTGACATATGGCAGGGAATCATATGGAAAAACGAAGTAGGCAAGTGTAATCCCAACGGCCAACTCCTCCTCAGCAAGTGGGTTGCACACAACCTCACTATCGTCAACACCTTATTTAGGCTGGCCGACAAGTTCAAGGGTTCCTGGCAACACCCATGATCCAAACATTGACATCTCATTGTTTACATTATTGTCAGAGAAAACGATCGCTGAGATGTCATCACCTGAGCCATGCATGGTTCAGACCACTGTGACACAGCTCATCGGCTTGTCAGAGCCAAACTCTCCCTTCACGTCACCTCAAAACGGCGAAGGCAACACACCTACAGAAGAGTTTTTGACACCAAGTGACTGGAGGATCCAGCAATAGCACATGCCTTCAGAGAGCAGCTCAACGATGGGCTGATAAGCAACCCAACAACAACAAACAACCAAAATCCCAATGCCGAATGGGATCCCATCAAAGCTGTCATCACAAAAACCTGCAACGAGACACTCGGCCTGATCGAAAGAAAACACCAGGATTGGTTTGATGAAAACGACCAAGAAATCGAAGTACTCCTCAATAGTAAACCTGCTGCTTTCACTGACACGCAGAACAACCCTAAGTCTCGGACCAAAGCTGATAATTTCCACAAAAAGAAAACGGAGGTCCAGTGCAAACTTCGCAAACTAATGAATGGATGGTTGAAAAATAAATCTTGCGAAATGCAAAATAAGCAAAACAACACAACATGCATGAGTTTTTCAATTCCTCTAAAATAGTATATGGCCCAATTACTAATGATTTGGTCCCCCTTCGTTTATCCGACGGTAACTCCCTAATTAAAGATGAAGAAGGCATCCGTTAGTGCTGGAAAGAGTACTAACATTCACTGTTTAACCGTAACACCGATTTGGATGTCCTAACTACCCAGCAGGTTCCTCAACACCCAGAACTGACTCACATCAGCTATCCTCCATCCTTGGATGAGGTAGTTACTGTCATGAAGCAGATGAAAAATAATAAAGCCACAGGGCCTGATGGAATCCCAGTTGGAGAATATAAGGAAAAGGAGGAAATCCCCCAAGATCTTAAAGATGTTTCAATTGTCAATATTTAAATTAATAGGGAGACCGGTCAGGCTATGGCAACTATGGCAGGATCTCGCTGCTTTCTGTATCTGGCAAGATTATTGACCAAGTCCTACTAAATAGACTTCTTCCTGAGGCGGAAATCTTCCTCCCAGAATCTCATTGTGGCTTTAGATCATCACATGGCACCACTAACATGATCTTTGCTGCCCGCCAGATACAGGAAAGTGCAGAGAACAACGTCGTGACTTGTACATGGCCTTCATCGACCTTACTAAAGCCATCGACTCAGTCATCAGGGAAGCCCTCTGGTGGACCCTCAGCCGATTTGGAAGCCCACAAAAATTCATCGGCATTGTGAGGCAACTCCACGATGGCATGAATGCTAGTGTCCTGCATAATGGTACCCAATCTGAGTTTTTCCCTATCCAAACGGGAGTAAAACAAGGATGTGTATTGGCACAAAATTTTCTTTTCCATTTTCTTGGCTGCCTTCCTTACTCGCGCCAGTGCCAATTTTGCCGGCGGGGTAAACATCCAGTACAGGACGAAGTGACTTTTCAACATAAGACGACTCCAGCCTCAAAGGTCTCGGCCGCTTTCGTCATTAAGCTTCAGTATGCAGACGAGCTTAAACTCGTCGCTCACACTGAACGCGATCTACAAGAGATCCTGAATACCTATGCAGATGTAGATGTACACTTCGGCCTTGAGGTGAATGAACGTAAGACTTAGATTGTCTTTCAGCCTGCCTCTGGTTTAACCACATCTCCACCATCCATCCAGCTTAATGGTACTACCCACTTCCAGGACCTTGGCTCCCACCCTGGACATCGATGAAGAGATTCAACATCTGATCAAATGTGCTTCTCAAGCCTTTGGCAGACATCGTACCCGTGTCTTTCTTCAGCTGTAGGGAGCTGAAATTATCTACAAAGCTGCACGTGTATCAAGAAGTGATCCTCCGCACCCTGCTGTATGGTAGCGAGACATGAATCACATACAGGAGGCACCTCAAGGCACTTGAAAACTTGCACCAACTTTCCAATCTCCGATTTCGCTGAGAAGACAAGAGAACAAATGCCATTATTCTCGCTGACACCAACTGCAGGAGCATCGCGGCAAACCTTATTCATGAAAACTACGTTGGACTGGACATGTTATCTGCATGGACGACAGTAGACTACAAAACCAGCTACTTCACAGTCACCTAACAAATGGTAAACATATTGATGGCTGGCATAGCTTACCTGTGGCTGTACACGCTGGACTCACGTCGATGACTGAGGCTGCTTCACTCACTCCAGTAACGTGTCCTTGCATTTCATCTAACCAGTGGATTCTCGAAATTTGTCTTTTCATTCCTCCGTTGTGGTTATATATAAATAAATAAATATATATATATATATATATATATATATATATATATATATATATATATATATATATATATATATATATATATATATATATATATATATATATATATATATATATATATATATGTATATATATATATATATATATATATATATATATATATATATATATATATATATATATATATATATATATAATATATATATATATATATATATATATATATATATATATATATATATATATATATATATATATATATATTTATAGTTCGATAAATGTAAATTATGTATCTGCAAGCTTATTTACAAAGATATAACAAATAGTTAATAACAATGATATAAAAAAAAAGCTGTCGTCTAAATCTACACAAAAATGTCATTTGTATAAGAACAGATCCTTTTATGGTCCCAGACCGCCTACTGTTCTCTCTACTATACGGTTATCACTGTTTCTAGACTTCCACTATCCTGGTAATAATTGTCTGCCTGTAGAGATGTTCCTTCTTAAATAAGTTTCACCTCTCTTCTCACGTGGGGTACAAACAAACCAGAACTGTACGGGAACTACACTGGTATGATCATTTCGCTTCTCATTCCTTCCCAGGCATATGGTGACTTTTTCATATTTATTTAGATTTTAATAAGTTGATTACTTAATTAATCTAAGATTTTTATTTTGCAAAAACACAAACATGAAAATTATTACGAAATTATGTTAGATACTTAACATTATCTGAACATCTCCACAATTATGTATCTGCTGTAAATGTAGCATAGCAAGACTAACCTACGATTCTAGCTTTCAATTCATGGACCCCATAAAAAAAATTCCATTGACCCCTGATTCAGAAACTTTGAATAAACCACAACACAAGGATTTTTCAAATATAAATATATGTATGTGAGACCTGATAGGACTTCTGAAAACGACAGGAAAATTTACAAAATATTTTTATATTGGTAGTTCCTGAGGTGTTACCTCGTTAACTACTGGTATAATTGTTATTGATTTGGCAGCAACTTTTCTACGTTGAAAATTTAAATCAACTCCCTACCTGTGAGCTGAAAGGCAAGCAGGTTCCGATTCCAAGAACAACCCGCACATTATGCGGTTGGGCTACTGACCTTTGACCTTCATTGTATGCTGATGGACGCAGCTTGCCTAGCAACTCCTGTGCAGATTAGTTTCTCTTCCCTGAATACACCGATATGTTGGCACACGTCTTTTATTATAATCCTTTATTGAATTTGGCGCACTGCGTGATAATTGTATGCAGCTTTCAGTTGTAAATGACTAGACTTAGTTTGATCAATAAGATTCTTCTGAGGTGATTTAGAAGAGTTGGATTTGAACATTAAAACCAAGGTAACATCCTCTGTTATTCTTAAACTAATATTCATGAAGGTATGTCAAGGACTGCAACCACTGACTGAGGATAATGGGAAATACGGTAAACAAAATATATACCATTATTCTAGCAGATATAAAGTACAGTCATGGTTTAATCCTAACACTCTTTTTAGACTGAACCATACGTTATTAAAAACAGTACTGTGTATTCACTCTATTTGTTTGAAGAAAAAACCTCTTTTTGCACTTTACACCCATTACTTTTCAGTTTATTTTGAACAGAGTTCAAAACTCGAAACAATTAAGTATCATTCGAATCAGTTTCATAAAAAGAAATATCATTGAAACAATACTCGAGACCGATTCATAACAGTTAGACAAAGTGCGTCTGTTCAGACATTTTATAAAAATATGTGTTCATTAGGGTAAATATTAAACACTGATAATATTACAATACATACGCGGTAACATTATCGAAAACAGAATGCCGTACTGCTAGAATACTGCTTGAGAGCTTTATGGGTTCGAATACAGTAGGACACCCATATTCATACCTACGGTCGACAATGTATTTTGGTGATCTGTCGGTGTAATATCTGCAAGTCTGTCGAAATAATCTGATATTAAGTCTATTTATAATAAGATGGAGTCAAAGGCTTTAATACAATGGTATAATGGAAAATATTATCTATATATTATACATTTCCGTGGGGGTAAAGTGCAAAAAGTGGGAGTTCAGATTCGTACTGAATGATGGGATATAAGTAGGTAGGTAAATATAGGTAGGTAGGTAGGTAGGTATAGGTAGGTTGGAATGTAGGTAGGTAGGTAGGTAGGTAAATTGTTATGACTTACGTTTTCCAATTGTTTCTCGTTCATCTCCCTTAAGCTCTAACATCAGAATAAATTTTTCGGTAAGAGTTTATTTTTAATATACCTTGAGTATCACCAAACATCAAGAGGGCACGATTTGAAGCTTCAACCTTTTTAAACGTTAAAGTTATTCTAAGATTTCCTGCATTTTCTGGGTCAATCATCCTCCCGTAGTAAAAGCGTCATAATTTATTAAAAGGGGGTGTTTTAACCCGAGAGACTTCAATGTGTAGTGATACAAGGGAGCAATTTGATGTGGGATGAGTACATTAAAATTAAGTAAACTTCTCCCGTTTATGCTAACAGAAAGTCTGCTCAAATCACCATGTATTGTCCTGAATATGTGTCTATATTAACTATAACCATATAGAGTTCACTAGGATTATAATTTCCCCAGAGATTGTCGACAGTGATTGAATTTTGGTTTTGTACAGTTACATAAAATTTTGCCACCTTATTATTACAGTTGTTGCGGAAACTAGGTAATTAAGAAGGCAAATGTCTTTAGTTACTTTACTTTAACTATTACTTTTAATTTAATTTCAAAATTTAAATGCTTTACCTGATTGTGCCCAGGGGCTTTTAGGTTGAAATGATTTAGTTATAACACCTTGTAAAACTCATGGTCAATTACGTAACAAATGACAAGCTGTTTGTATCGTGATCTTCTTTAGTTATGTTTTACTGTACGTCTAGTTATTACAGCATTACTTTGCTTAATTGAATAGTTGATACCACACTCATGGTTGACATGACAATACCCAACACAGCATAACTAGTAGGACTTGAAAAGTATGCAAATGATTTTTAAATAATATTCTTAAAACAAAATCAACACAAAACACATATTCAAGGGTGAAAAATAATGTACTCAGCTATAATAATACACATTACAAAAAGATGGCCAGTAAATTCCACGGTGAACAGGCAGTGCAGATAACAGTGGGTCACTCCACGGCGGAGCAGACGGGGGAGAACAATGAGCAGGTAATGGTGAGAATGGAACCGAGGGCGACTCCTTGATGAGAGTAGACATCACCTGTCATAGATGGCGCTCCTAAAAGCCGTGGATGGTTTTCCACCAATCAGGAGCTGTCTCGTGATTAGTGTTTTTACTAGTTGCCTGCTTAACTAGTTAGTGGTTTGGGGGTCGTGTGGAGTAAGCTGTGCAGATAAAGGTGACAATGCAGTGTATTTACATGGAAGTGCGACCCTACTATGCTACATTTCCCCCACAAAGTACATTGTAGTCGTAGAAGGAGATGGGCAACCAACACATGGAAGGGGTCACAGGTGCAGTGCATGATGATGATGGTCAATGAGGTCGGTCTGCTTCCCAGGGCAACGTATCTGCTAAGATGTTGTTTTCTCCTTTGATGTGGTTGACCTTGATACGAAAAGGCTGGATTAGGAGGGTGCATCGCAGAATACGTTGATTACTGTGTCTTGCCTTTTCGATGAAGATGAGTGGATTATGGTCTGTAAAGGCCTGAACATCATGAGTAAGATGTTGGAGATAACACTCAAATTTCTTAAGGGCAGACACAAGGACTAATCCTTCTTTTTCAACCGTACTATAGTTGCGTTGGTGTAGTTTCAGCTTAGTCGAGAAATAACAGACAGGATGAAGTACCCCACCAGAATTATCTTGTTGTAGAAACACGTCACCTAAACCCTCACCTGAGGCACCCACATGAAGGGTAAAGGACTTATTGTAATCTGGAGACTTGAGAACAGGATCGCTTGCTAGCAACTTCCTTAGTTGGTTAAAGGCTTCTTGGCAAGCTTAATCCCACTAGAATGGGACTTTCCTGCTGGTAAGACACGTCAGCGGAGCAGCTACAGATGCGAAATTCTTGCAGTACCTCCTATAATACAACGGCCATTCCAAGGAATCTCAGGAGACTTGCGGGTTGTGGGTACTGCAAAATTGAGAATGGCATCGGTGTTGGCAGTTTTGGGTCGACATCGTCCTTGACCCACGATGTGTCCAAGGTATGTGATGGTGGCCTGGCCGAATTGGGACTTCGCCAGATTGATAGTCAGGCCTGCCTCGTCCAAGCGCTGTAGGAGAACTCGAAGACGGGTGATGTGAACATCCTACGTATCTGAAATAACTAGGTCCATCCTCCATCTTTTGGGACCAGTAGGGAAGGAGAAGCCCATGGGGAGGAACTGGGCACCACCGGATCTTGCTCCAACAGGTGGTCAACTTCGTCCTTCATCTTGGCTTTCTTCTCTAGACTGAGTCGGTAAGGAGTCTGTCGTACAAGATGAGAATTAGTAGAGAGTTCGATATCATGGAGAACATTATGACATCTACCTGAACCATCCCTGCATACACCTCAGTTATCTTGCAGTATTTTAATAATATCTGCCTACTCTTGAGCGGTTAAGTTTGGTAAGGATTATTTAATCTCGTTATTATATAAGAGTTTTCTTTCCTGCTTTATACAAGAGGATTTTCTTCCCCAACCAAATCTATGTCCTTAGCAAAGAACGCCTGGTTGGTGAGAACAGGTCTCTTACCCGAGTCACCTTGAGGATTCCTTCTGCGATACAATTTCATTAAGTTAAGATGTACTAGTTGAGATTCCTTTCTATGGTCAGGAGTTAAAACAACGCAGTTTACTTTATTTAACTGATGAGATACTTTGGAAGGGCCTTGGTATTTTCA